GAAACTGCTGCATGTAAATCAAAGCTACACATGAATAAAAACAATGGTCAGATCAAGAGCATAATTTATAAAAGCCACAACAAAGACTATAAGTATCAGGTAAAAGCAAGGAGAATTTATATGTGGGAAAGACCCTATGCAGCAGAATGATTAAAAGGTTTCAATAAAGGGCAAGCCTGGTTCAACTGTGAAGACACCAACTCCCTTTAACCTAATCCAGAATGATAATGATCTCAATAAAAGCCAGAATTTCACAGTAATTATGGAGCAGGCATGAGTTAATAATGGGTAACGGAGTTCACCTGCAGAGAAAAAGCAGAGCACGTGGCTAGCATCCATGAAGCCCTGGGTTCTGTCCCCACCAGTGAAGCAAAAAGAATTATTGCTAAAAAAAAAAATCGTAAGTATCTGTGTGAAAATGGTATTACAGTTTTGTTTTTAAATGAATTGTTTCTGAGCATAGAGGCAGAACACCTGGAATCCCAGCATTGGGGAAACTGAGGCAAACGAAGCCTGAGTTTGAGGCTGGCCTAAGACATTTAGAGAGGTCTTGTCTCAAATAAGAAACATGGTTGACCATCAGAATGGCTCAGTGAGTAACAGAGGCTACCAATTCTGACGACGAGAATTTGATCCCTGGCACCCACATGGTGGAAAGAAAGAACCATCTCCTGAGACATGTCCCCTGATATCCATAAGCACATCATGTCATGTAAGCCAGGACACACATGCCATGGCATGCACACACACACACACACACACACACACACACACACACATCACACAAAATAAACACATATAAAATGTTAGTCGTGCCACGATTTACCAAAACACTCACTTTTTAAAAAGAAACATTATTCTTTTTGGTTTGTATTTTAAATATTTACATGTGAAATGATGCACCTAGGATCTGTTTTCAGTTTCTGCGAGGGAAGGAAAGAAGTAGGAAGCTGGAGAAAGAAGATGGGTGTGAAATAATCACTGGAGTGGCCATGGCATTCGTGGGGGCTGTTACTCTGCTCTGTCCACATTCATATCTGTTGCTATTTCAATGTTAAATTGTTTTTGGAGGGCCCAAACAGGCATAGTTTTTATGCAAAAAAAAAATGTGTGGTTTTAAAACCTCAAAAGGTATGTTGTAGACTCATTTGATTCTCAATTTCATAGCAATACATCTATTATTTTTTGAGAATCTATTAGAGAACCTGGCCTTTGTAATACGAGTGGCAGAGAGGTTTCCATCTTGTTTAAGATTTGTTTGCAATGTCGTTGTTTATGGAAACCTGGAAAAGTATCATCAGAGGGGACGATCTGTGACAAAGGCTAAGAGCAGTCGTTAGAACCACGTGGTGTTGGCACACTGACACATCAGTGGAGCTGGCAAGTCCAAGACTAATTTCTATCTGTGTGGGGACTCAGTGGGCACAAACTCGGGCACAGAGTCTTTCTTTTCTCTTGCTAGTGTCACAACACTACAGATTTGTAGGTTACACGTAAAAGAGGCTGATTTCTGCTCACAGTTCTGCCGGTTCCTGAAGGATGCATTTGTCAGTGGCTTGCATACTGGCAGCCTTGAAACTCTCCGTAATACATGGGAAGAGCTATGAGACCTAGCCAAACTGGCGCTATGTCGGTCCACCCTGGTGATAACCCATAATCCATTAACCATATGAACAATTAATCGGTCGATGAGCACAGAATCATGATCACCACTCAGTGTCCTCACCCACAAACATCACGAGGGAGGGAACAAACCATATCCAAAGCACAGCACCTGAGCGAAACCAAGCAAATGGCTTGGAACAATTATCTAGCCATTAAGAAAATGAAATGGCTTCTTTATTGATTACTTTACAATGTGATAAATCCCCAATATAGCATGGTGAAATATTTACAAGTGGGTAATGAAACCATAAAAGCCTTAATAAAACTGGGGCTAATTCTTGTATAATATTGGATAGAGGAAGCTACAAAAGCATAAAAATTCCACATAAACAACAGCATTGCAAATAAAACCTTCAACAGAATGGAAACACATCTGCCACTCACATTACAAAGGTTAACCTTTCCAATACAAATTCTCAAAGCAGCAACACTAACATCAGTCCACCGTGGAAATTCTAAGCAGTTAATCAATCTGCAAAATGTTCAACCTAGGTGCACCTTTTCAGCAAACGCTGGCTCATAAGGCCCACACAAACCAAATACTGGTCTATTTCTTCCTGGATTGGATGTGATTCTCCTCAAGTCTTCATCCCTCTGCACTTAGAACTTCATGATAGTCCTAGTGCACTGCACTAACGCAATTTTTTAAAACCGGTGGAATTTATTGAAGTGTTTCATTTGACATCCAAAAGATGAGGAGTCCCTTGATCAACTTCTTAAGCAGAAACACACTCCTTAGATGAAGACTGTTCTCAAAAAGGCATTCGCTCATGCCAGTCTCTACAGGATGAGTTTCCACTTCCCCGTTTTCTCATGTAAACAGTAAGACAAATACTGACTTCCAAATTTGCTGTAGAACCTCTGAGCGATGCCACTTTCTTTCCCTCTGGGGTAATTTTTCCAACACTAACCGCTAACAAGCCTGCGAATAAATGAGTCTTTTCTCCCCCTGAGACTAGTGAAGGTGAGCAGGCATGTGACAGACACAGCCACCTCGGCTTTAGGCAACAGTAAAGACATGCTACTCAACTAGACAGCAGCTCCAAAGACGCACCTCCCTGACCTCCAACTGCATAGATTGAGTGACATTTGACGTGTAATGTACTCCCTTTCCTATGACAAGATCAGGCAGGATGTTTTACTCTTATAAGTCAACAAAACACCAACATTGTTCTGCAGCTCCTCGTGTGACTGAATGGCGCACCCTGAAGGTTTGAACTTAACAAAATCAAAAATCCATTTACCACCTAGATGGAAAATAACAAGCAGGCATTGCATTAGAAAGTGCTCTGGCACAGAGGACTTCTGGAATTCTCTAGAGTGATTTCTCGAGGAAATCATTTGGAAAGAAAATATGGAAACATCGGTATATTTAACTATCAATTCTGAAATCATTGACTTTGCTTGATAAACCTATTTAGTTTAATAGCAAGAATATACAAGATTAGTGTTTTCTTCTAAGAAAGATTGCTGGCTTACTTGTATATTTTTTGAGCAAAATTCTTACATTATTTGAGATTCATCAATAAGGAACATACAATCATCATTATTATGTACATCTCTTAGGAATTTAAAATTGTTTTGCCATTTTATTGCATAATATTAAGCAATTTCAAAATAGAGGTCAGATACAATGGCACACTATTTACAAAATTTATTTAAATGCAGTCTTTAGGAACTAGTGAGATGGCTCAGTGGTAAAGCTGTTGCCTTGAAATCACAGGACACCAAGTTTGAATCTTTGCTTTAAACATACAAGAGAATCCAGATGGGGTTAGCAAGCATTTGTAATCCTGGCATTTCTCTGGTGAGACAAGAGGCAGAGACAGACAAATCCCCCGAACTCATGCTTCAATTGGCCTGTGGTATTATTCATCAGCTGACAGCAAAAAGACACCCTGCCTCCAACAAGGTGGAAGAAGAATACCAAGACTAGTGATTGTCCTTTGACCTTCACATGAACTCCAATCATGGATGACCCTGGGTACATGCATGTACACACAGACAATATAAGCACAAAATATATGTAACGATTACCTTATTTCATGTGACATTTGTTATTTCAAAATTAAGTTCTAAATAAAAAGGCAAATTTTGTTGACATTCAAGAGTGTTATCTGACATTTGACTTGCCAACCACTTGTATGTCACAGTGTAGACTAGAATTTAGCTTCATGTTATATATATATATATATATATATATATATATATATTCTTTACCAATAGTCTGCACCATCAGCTGTTTTATTAATATCTTATCATTAAATCTGTTAAAGATATTTAAATGTTTAAATTAAACTTTACTGCATGTGAATGTGCACATGTGGAAGTCAGAGGACCACTTTTAGAGTTACACCAGGCCTTCACGGAAAACATTTTTACCTGCGGAGCCATCTTGAAGACCGTAAAGATCTGGATTTATATTATTTTCAAAGCACTTTAAGAATATTGGAGGGGGTTGGTTATGTGATAAATTGGAAGAGTGCTTACCTAGAAAGTGGGGAGGCCTGGGTTTTAATCCCCAATACTATTTAAAAATGTTTACAACTATAATCCTTGAAAAAACGGTGTTCCATTCTGGGTTAAAAATTCTTTTAAAACAATTCTAAGGACACTATACTAAGAGGGCTTTTATTTGTGTGTGGTACTGGGATTAACGCAAAGGTCACAATTGTGTTCAACAAGTGTTCTACACATACACAGAGAGAGAGAGAGAGAGAGAGAGAGAGAGAGAGAGAGAGAGAGAGAGAGAGAAGGGGGGAGAAAGAGGCAGAGAGGAGGGGAGGAGGAGAGCGGAGGGGCAAAAGGAGAGGAGGGGAGGAGAGGTGAGGGCAAAAGAGGAGAGGGGAGGGAGGAGAGAGTGTGTTTGTCCTAATCTTTTCCTTTTTCCTTCCCTCCTCTTTCTTTCCTCCCCGCCCCCCTTCCTTCTTTCATTTTAAAATATACTTGCTGACATAATGTCCTTAAGATGCCCAGGCAGGTCTCCAACCTCTGGCTTAAACACCCTCATTAGCTAGGGCTAATTAATAAGAATTTTATAGGCTCTGATGAGTTTTTATTGAGACAAAAGTGCAGAATTATCACTTCACATCCACAGGCTTCGGGTATCCTACCAAGTAATGCGCTCAAAGTTTTAAAAAGTTTCAAAGAATTTTCAAAACTTTAAAAACGCTGCTCTGCCAGGTACCCAGGTGTTTTCCAGGGCGTCACTTCCCCGCATCCCGGGGTGTGGAGTCCGTGTCGCCACGGCAACGGTTGGGCGGCCCCTCGCCGCCTTTGACCCGGGTGAGCGGCGGGCGGAACCTCTCCGGCCGCACCGGAACCTCAGTGCGCGCGCCCGCGTTTCCCGGTCGGAACGCTCCGGGAGGGACTTTCGAGCGCCTCGGGCCGAAGCCGCTGCCGGCCAAGAAACCACCATGAAGTTTCGCGCCAAGATCGTGGACCTGGCTTGTCTGAATCACTTCACACGTGAGCTGGCAGGGCTGCGGGGAGCGAGCGGAGAGTGCGGCTGCAGCCCTGTGAGAGGACTGGCGGGGTGGAGGGCACAGCTGGGGCCCGTCGGTTGGGAGGGCGGCGCTTAGGGGGAAGGATAGCTACCGGGGACCTTTCCCTCTGCAGTCCTTACTCACTCTTCCTTTCCCGCGATTGTGCCTAACCTTGCCCGCGGGCCGTACCCAGCTGCCCAACATTTATGTGGAATGCACGCCAGATTCCCGGTTGTCAGTTGTTTTCTGAGACTGTTTCATTATTGAACACTGGTGCTGTGGGCTGTGTGCCTCGCAAGATGTCCGCGGCGTTGAAGTCCGAGCGTGATCCGTGAACTTCAAGTTCTGCAAGCTGACCTGTAGGATACCCGATGTCATGCGTAGTAACTGCTTTCTTTCCCTCCTCGCTACAGGAGTCAGTAACATGATAGCCAAACTTGCCAAAACCTGTACCCTCCGCATCAGCCCGGAGAAGCTGAACTTCATCCTTTCGGACAAGCTGGCCAGTGGTGGGGTGAGCATGTGGTGTGAGCTGGAACAGGTGAGCAGGAACGCCCAGAGACCCCGGGCTCCAGCCAGGAGTGCTGAAAAGGCCTTAAATGCCTGTATCTGTCCCACAGGAGAACATTTTTAGTGAATTTCAGATGGAAGGAGTCTCTGCAGAAAATAATGAAATTTATTTAGAATTAACGTCAGAAAACTTATCTCGAGCCTTGAAGACTGCCCAGAACGCCAGAGCCTTGAAAATCAAGCTGACTAACAAACACTTTCCCTGTCTTACGGTGTCTGTAGAGATGGTAAGTAGGAGGAAAAGGATTTCTGAATTTTTTTTATAAGTGCCTTGTTTTGGTCTAGGGTATATAAGTAGCTATAGCCTGAGATTTCAAACAATATTCTTGAAAGTGAATTAGTTTCATTTAAAATACAAAATCTAGTCCAACATAGTGGCCCATGTCTTTAATCCCAGCACTCAGGAAGCAGAGACAGGAAGATCTCTGAGTTCCAGGACTGCATAGAAACCCTGTCTCAAAATATAAGATCTGGTTCCTGACTTACATGTGAGAAATGCACCTTATCCTAGTCATTTTAAAACAAAGTTTGATTGCACAATGTTCAACAGGATACTGCTTTTTCCAAGCAGTCAAATTGCTAACTAGAATCTCTTTCTTTTCACCTTGTCTAGATGTTTTTATCCACTTCCATCTTAAAATTTCATCATCTGTACTATTCTTAAATACACATAGTCCTCAGACTTAAGTAACACATTTGTTTTCGACACTACTGCTAGATGAGTAGCGAACAGCCTCTTCTCAGAACACACGGAAACACACAGACAAGATGGAGTTTGTGGGTCCTAACATGTCCCTAGCCTTTCACATATAGCCCACCCTATCTTGGAGCCAAGACACCAATTACTGCCCTCTGAGTGGTTCTCTGGATAAGTTGGGTTTTTTTCCCCACTCCCAGGCTGGGTACATCAACTGGACATTCCACGTGGAGTTTCTCTCTAAAACTTTCCCTTTCTTTAGTGCTATGCCCCAGCCCACCCAGGGCCTCTATTATTTTTACAACTTCCCTTTCTTATATGTGCTCTGGGCATCTGTGGGTGAGTATTACATTTGTTTCCAAGCTGGCTATAGATGTCATGGCTTAAAAACGTTTTGTATGTTCTTAGAGCTAATTAGAGCGTGCCATGTAACCATAGGCTGAGTTTATTTAGTTTTTTAAGGAAAATCAAGATCTTATTATATAATACTTTTCTAAGTAAGAATGTAAGATACTTGGGTTTCTTTTTTGCTGTTTTGTGACAGGGTCTCACTGTATAGCTCTGACAGTCTTAGAATTCACTATGTAGACCACACTGGCCTCGAACTTACAGAGATCCACCTGCCTCTGCCTCCTGAGTGTTGTGTGTGCCACTCTTCCCAGGAATTCTGTGGTTTCTGAGTTTAGAGATGCTTCTAGAAGTAAACATGTTCAATCCTTTCAGAGGTGTGGAAGCAGCAGCATTGTGGCACACAATGGTGTCTAGGTTGCCTTGGCCCGGCAGATTTACCTCTCTCTCTCTCTGTCTCCTAGGTTTGCAAATTCTGATGCTGTCCCTCCGCCTGAAACCTGTCCCCTCAAATTCAGCTTCCTAGATGCTGTCTCCTCTCTAGTTCTGATGTCTCTGAAGCTACACCCCAGAGGGTTTTCCTCTTTCCTCTCTAGCAGCCCTCCCTCCCTCATCCTCATCACCACTGTGCTTTCTTCAGGCTCTGATGGGTATGTGGTCTAGCTCTGGGCACTTGCTGTCTGCTTGCTCCATTCGTTCCACTGGGGCCTTGTCTCCTTCACCACACTTCTCAGAGACCCGCAGGACCCAAAGCCGGCAGATACACCACATCAACATTATCACTTGAATAGATTTTGAGGGGATGAATTAAGAACATTCCATTTGGAATTCAAAGGTTTAGCAACAGTTCTTGTGTTTTGGTTTTCTTTTAGCATTGACAACATAAAGTTATCTAACTTTTTTCTTAGCAGTTGTCCTCATCCAGCAGTAGTAGAATTGTGACCCATGATATCCCCATAAAGGTGATTCCTAGAAGATTGTGGAAGGACTTACAAGAACCCTCTGTCCCAGACTTTGATGTAAGTGTTGTCTGCAGTTCTGTTCTTCAACACACAATAAAGGGCGGGGATTGAATTCTCCATTGCTAGTTGTCGTCTTGCTGTGTATGTTATTAGAATTTGTATAGTTTCTGGAAAGACTGTGGGTCGATTAACAAGACTTCAAATATGAGTATGTGCCTTTTGCTATGTATGTAAATCCTGTTAAAGAGCTGATACCCATTTAGAAATGCCATACTTTCCATATAGGAAGTGGATGCCTTGCTTGGTGATGGCATGTAACAAAAGAAAATAGAGCCTAAGTTATACTTTGGAAGACAGTCTACATTTACCATGACTCTTGGCTTTAGGCACAAATTCATGTTTCATAGGCCCTAATGAAAGAGCCAGAAAACACATTGTGTTGTCTTGGAACTTAGGTTAACAGTGACCTTCTAGGAACCTCAGCACCATTGCAAAGAAAGAGGATGCCAAATGGTCTTTTGTCTCTTGCATATATAAAAAGAAATCAAACGGATACTGGATGAAATGTGTAGTTGGTTAAAAGGTGTCTATGTAGGCTTGGAAAAAGCCAGCGTTACATCAGTGCTGTTGGTAACATAGCTCAAATGACTCGTGATAATTTCTGGCTGTACTCTTACACAGAGTACACAGAAGGCCCCTGGGTCCTATAAAACATTTCCCAAAGGAAGGCTTCTTGCTCAGCACTTGAGGTGTATTCCCCTTGGACCTGTATATAGGTATCTTAGCTGATGTACTGTGTTCCTTCTTGAACCAGAACAATGCTCTTGGGAGTATGGTCACCATGGTAACCAGAGCCAGCTATCCAGGTATTTTTATTTGCTTGAATAAGTTAGTGAAACTTTCAAAGTTTTAAAGGGACTTTATTTGGAAAATTTAAAAATGTGATTCTGAGTTTTTAATACAAGTACATTTCACCATTGTTAGTTGAGTACCTGCTATTATAGACTATGTTAAGATTTCTGATCCATGTGATTTCCTCATACTGGTTTTTAGGTCAGTATTTATTTACCAGCCTTGAAGACAATGAAGAGTGTTGTGGAAAAAATGAAAAATATCAGCAATCATCTGGTAAGTGATGGATTACTCCTTCAGAAAAGAGCTGTGAGTGAGCTCTCGCTGTGTGAGTGGCTTGTCCTGGAGGTGTAGGTGCTCCCTCGCCACCACAGGGTGTCTCCGCGAGTGGGTTTCACCCACTGAGGCCCCACTCGGGAGGACAGAGCTTGCTATTGCCATCTGGCCTTTAGGGACCTGTTCTAATGCCTTTCAGCTCTCATTCACTGGGGAAAACTTTAAAACTTGCCTTTAATCCCTCGTGTTTATAGTATATCGGGAGCATGTTCCAACAGTTCTGGTATTAATTTGGACAGAGCATTGCAGTTTTTGTTGGTCTCCTATTTGGTGCTGAGGGTTAAATGGAAGACTTCATGCAAACTAAGAGCATCTTCCACCACCGAATGAGTGAGTGGTCGAAGCCCCAGTGTCTTTGACATGTTAGCATGCATGGGTCCAAAAATAGCACAAACTTAGTGGACTGTCATCTGTTCCGCCCGAATCTGCGAAACCCCACTCTCCGATATAGGTGCGCGCTTCCCGTACTGAACTGCGAGCTTGGATCAATGTCCTAGGAGTTAAACACACACACACACACACACACACAGAGACCAGGATCATTTGCCCAAAGGGTAAATGTCGACTTTATTCAGCACATGTCGGGTTTATATACTTGGGGGCAAAAGGATGAGAGCTTCCTCCCACCTGGGAGTGAGATCATAGTGTTGGCCGCCTGGTGCCAGTGGCTGGAGCTTCCATGCAGGGGGTATCGAGCTGGGAACCCTGACAGACAGATGGGAGGAGATTTCGGGCACCTGTGAGGACCCTCCTTAGCAGGTGAAATTACCATAGCAATGACAGAATCAAGGCTCTGAACTAATTCCCTCCGGCTGGCAGGGCTGGCAGAGTCGAGCTGGGGAAGCTAAGGTGGTTAGCGTAAACATTTCTTGCATCCTGTGTTTTGGCCTCGAGGAACAGGGAAGACAGGGCCCTACAGTCACCATTTACACATAGTGTGTCCTGACTTCCACATTTATTCACCCCTTAAGACCACATTCCATTATGTTCCTAGATCTTTTCAAAGCTACTGCCCACCTGACACACAAACCTGTGACTTTTCCAACCTCCAAGGCCACATCACTCAATAGTCCATAATTGATATGTTGTTGCATGGATGGGAGGAACATTTAGCTCCTGGGAATCTGTACATCACAAGAGGATTTGAAACGTAGAAAGTGGTAGGGTTTTTGGTAGTGTTGTTTCTCTCACGAGTCCTCACTTCAGAGCAGTGCTGCCCTCTGAATCAAAAATCTGCCTCCCTTGGAATAGCACCACTGTGCTGGTAGTGTTGTTCACTGCCTCTGCCACGGTGTTGATCCAGTTGTCAGCCTGGCTTCCTCTATGGTACCATGGGACTTCTAGGAGGCTCAGGAGACCCAGAGGGAAAAGTCAGGCATTTAATTGAGGGATCATGTGCTCGTTCTTTCTGTGCTGTGGAAATGAGTCAGCAAAGGGTTTGTGAGAGCAGTGGCAGTTGTTTCTCTTCTGGGGTGCTCAACAAATGCTAACTGGGACGTTACCCGGCTAGAACAGCCAACTGCATATGAGATCTCTCTGGGTGCCTGGGAGCCAAAGTTGTAAGGAACTAAGTAGATGCTTCCAGGGGAAGCTGCATGTCTTAGTAGTTTGTACAATAGAGACCTTATGAAGTTGAGAAATTATCTCGGTCCATTTCCACATTTGTAGTGAAACCTCCCAACTGCACCAACAGAGCATCAGTAAAGGATCATGAGTGAGTCCCAAAAACACAGCATAAAAGATGTGTGAGGTCCAGATTCAGAAGGGGCTGGGGCTGCTGTTGCCTTACCAGGACAGAGAGCTGCAGCTGTGCTGGTATCTGGCCTGGCCTCAGTGTTCACAAAACAGCTTGGGGAGATAATGTGGGACTCTGACACTCACTTTTTCCCCATGGGGTCCTGTCTTCAGTTCCTGTTCTCCCTGCCCTGGGACTATTGCCATAGGCCAGAGGAGTCTCCTCTGTCTTTAAGCTCTCACCACGCCCATCCTATTGGTTCTTTTATCTGGAAGGAGATTTGCCAACCATCCTGTGCATGGCACTCTGCATGTCTGGTTTGGTTGTTGGTATCTGCCTAACTAGTCTGCGGTCAACATTCTGCCAGCCAGTAGCACAAACATGCTGCCTAATCTGGAAAGGGGAGGCGTCTTCCATGTCACTAGGACCATCCTCTGAGCATTGCAGGCAGAGGATCCCAGGTCTGTGAGAGGAAAGGAAGTCACAGCTCTGTTGTCATGCTGTAGTTTAAGACATGCGGCATTAGCATGCCCTGGGAACTAGTCAGCACGTGATATCTGTCTGCTGTGCTTATTGCATATAATTTCTGAACTCCAAATCTTCTCGTGCTAGAAACAAAACGAGGTAGGTTCTCTGAACTCAAATGAGCTCTTGTTTTTGAGCTTCTGATGTTATATACTATGTTTCCAAGCTCACAGCCTTCTAATCTAGTCACTTCCTTGGAGTAAAAAGCTTTAATATTAAGACTTCTTTCAGTAAGCAGAGCTCTTATTTTCATTTCTTAACACACAGTTCTATAATCCAGAATAATAAGTGACCAAAGCAAAATGTAGATAGCAATGTTTGTGAATGTTCTGGGGGTACTCATTGGGGCTCCACAAAGCTCATATGTGGCCTGTTACCGTTTACTTCCAACAACTGTGTGCTAATACCTGTAGATTTGATTGCTTCTGAAAAACAGTATGTTAGGAATAAATATCTATTAAGAAGGCAGCTTGCTTTGACTTTGAATTCACTGCAGGCATGTGTACTTCCATGCTTCAAATTCTTTTTTTTTTAAGATTTATTTATCTATTTATTATTTGTACAGTATTCTGCCTGTATGCATGCCTGCAGGCCAGAAGAGGGCACTAGATCACATTATAGATACCTCTGAGATACCATGTGGTTGCTGGAATTGATCTCAGGACCTTTAGAAGAGCAGCCGGTGCTCTTAACCTCTGAGCCATCTCTCCAGCCCATCTTCAAATTCTTAAAGTCTGAGTAATGGAGCATTAGATTTCAACGCACACATGATCCAGTGCCGGACACATGATGCACTTAGTCAGAATGTGAAAGAATTTTCAGCAGCCAACTCCCTGAACCTGCCACTCAGAGCTGATTTAAGATACAGTTTTCTGTTCTCTCATGCACATTGACATTTAGTTTCCTAAGCATCAGGATAAGATTTTACTTTCCCTGCAACTCCCTTAATCATCATTTAGTGCTCATTAGTTGACTCCTGACCAGCTGTACTGGTACCTGCTGTAAACTACCTCTGAGTGCACCAGAGCGATAAAATGTGTGACAGCTGCACCACTGCCTCCAGCCGCAGGTTTCACTTGACCTAAAGATCTGACTCCGGAGCCTCTCCTCTGACTGCATCACAGTGCTTCTCACCCTAATCCTTCTCAGCCCTTCAGTAAGCTGCTCCTACAGAGCTGCTTCTTTCAGCATCACATCTGAGCTCACCTCCAGCGGAGCACGCATTGTTAGGCATTGCTCCTGGACATGGTCAGAAAACAGGCAACATTAGCATGCCCTGGAAACTGGTTGGAAGTATAGAGCCTGGGCCTATGTTAACCAGATCTCAGGGGTTCTCCTGCACAGAAGTGTGATGATGTGGGGGAGGGGTGCTCTTGTTGTAAGAGCCACAGCCACAGCCTACCATGCTTCTTGCATTCAGGGAGAAAGAAGGAAATGGGCATTTCTGAAGGGTACATAGTTATGGCGGTTTGATCCATCCTTTCTGATCCTTTCTCCCATATAATGCTCTTTCTCTGACCTGGCAGTGCATCTGTCTTGACAGGTTAGCATCCTTTCACACCGTGCCTGCTGTAAGGGAGCCCTCACCTCCACTCCACCAGCATCACTTTGCTGGTGCCTGCAGAGCCCTGATCCTTGACCGAGTGTCCCAGCAAGGCCCCTCCCTCTTCCCCTGCTGCTTTCTCTACTAGGGGGATACCTTGTTGATTTTAGGGGATATTTGAGTTCTGGGCTTTCATAAACCTCTCTGTGGTTGTTGTGGAAGGGGCTTCAGTGCCCTGTGAGGTGTTAGGTTTGTGACACTGCCTTGTTACCTGGCTTTTGTGGAAGCTGGTACCCATGTGCTGTTGTTTTTCCTCTTTTCAACATTGAATTTTAATCAATTTGCAGGTTATTGAAGCAAACCTAAACGGAGATCTGAACCTAAAGATAGAAACTGAGTTGGTATGTGTGACAACTCATTTTAAGGATCTTGGAAACCCTCTATTACGTGAGTTCTTGTGGGTTATATTTTGATTCTAATGAATTGTTTGAATATATATTGAGTTCTTTTAATGAAAACGTTGAAATCTGGTTTTCTTTGTTTCACACTTGAGAAGGGTCTGAGATAAAATTTCCTGTCCTTATGACATAATGGGGCAGTTAGCACTGGACAAAGGGTCAGGCCACCGGGCATTGAGGGTATACAGAGTGATGCTTCCCTCCTCTGGGATTCAGGTCACAAACAGTGACTTCCAAGAACTCAGCAACTCTTTGTAGTTGGCATTTTCTTTGGGTTGGCAACCAGCTCCCAAATAAAGACACAGAGATTTATTATTAACTGTGAATGCTCAGCCTCAACTTAGGCTTGTCCCACTAACTCTTTTAACTTAATTCAACCTGTTTCTATTCATCTTTGGGCCTTTTTAACCTTTCTTTCATTCTGTATGTCCTACTTTCCTGTTTCCTCCATGTCTTTCTGGCCGGCCCCTGGCATCTCTTTTTTCCCTAAGCCTAATTCCTCCTCCTACTTACTCTCCCTGCCCAGAAGTCTGCTTATACCTTCTCCCTTGCTATTGGCCATTCATCTTTTTATTAGATCAATCAGGTACCTTGGGCAGGCAGGGAAAAAAAGCACCACATCTTTTCGTAGTTAAGCAGACATTCCACACCAGCTCTTCATTTGCCACTGTGCTCTGAAGGTTAAGATTCTCATTTGGACTGGAGTCAACAGTTGTCTTTCTTATTTTCTCCTCTGGTCAATTCAATACCTGTGAAGTTAGATTGGCAGATACAAATGTGATGCAGATTAACTTGGTCACACTACATCTCATAAAGGTCAGGAAGGAATGTGAAATCAGTTCAGTGCGCCTTGATGGAAGGGGTGGTTGTGCAGCTTGGTGAGCAGTGAGCCTAAATTAGACTCCTCTCCTCAAATAGGGAAGCAGCCAGGGGGCCAGAGAAGAGGTGTCTGGAATGTAGGAGAGCCATTTTCTGATACACATCTTTGTCAAGTAGATAAGATGTCTTCATCACTTTTAGAGTTATGATTTGTTATTATTGGTTTGCTTCCACATAGACACAGATACTACCTTACCCCTGAAAGAAACATTCACTTTGTAGTGATGGGCACCCTGCTCCAGCAGAGTGAAGCCCATAGCACGAAGGCTCTGACAAAGGGGTATAAAATGACTTTGAATTTCTTGTTGTGTGCTTGTCTGCACTACTTAGTGAGTCTAGGGCATCCTAGGAAAGTGATCCGCCACTGAGCTACATTCCCAGCCCTGACATGAGTTCTTTTGGTGTCAGTCATTTATTTCACAGGCACAAGCAGATTATCAGCACTTGAAAGGCTGCTTTCTGTGTTTTGTTCCGCTATGTAGAGTTAGACATCTGACATTAGCATCTGCATCTCAACTTTTGAATTCATGCTGAGCTACACTTTTCTTTTGTGCAAAGAGGTGACTGAGTTGTACTTCAAGACCTTTTAAGTGAAGCTCCTCTGGAGGTTACAGTATTCTAAGCAATTCAAATGCCTGCCGAATGAGTAACATTTATAAGTTATAGTCTACTGGATTTCTATAAAGAGCTATCTGGTTGATCAGATCATGAGTTCCTTGTTATGTCCAGAGATGTTGGATTAAAAAAAAAAAATGTCATTTCAGCCTCTGAGAGTGTCTCTCAAAACAGACACCCAGAAGACATGGTCCAGGTGCAGATCGACATAAGGAAACTCCTCCAGTTCCTTGCCGGACAGCAAGTGACTCCTACCAAGGCTGTGTGCAGTGAGTTGCTTTTTCCTTACCCACCTCTAGTCTGATATGCATACAATCTTCTAAATACAATATGCCCAGTTCCAGGAACTAAGCTCCCTGGGCAGTCAGGTTGTAAAGTTTCCTTGAGCTAGAAGTATCTAGAGATGCTGAAGAGTGATGGTGAGCATTGTGGTACCAGAAAGCCGGCAGTCGTGCTGGACTGACAGTGATAATCAGAGCCCTGTGTGTGCCTTTGCCTAGATCTGAGTTTCAGCTTGAGCCCATTGCCTTTCCTTTCATTGCCTACCTGACCTGCACTCACTACCAAAGTCTCCGTTGTTGGTTATTAATGGCTTAGACCCCATCCTGGCTCTAGTTACACACTGCCCTGTTCCTCTACCCCTGCTCTCCTCTACTGAACTAGGAAGTTCATCAAGAGCTTCTCAAGACTCTTTGTCTCCTTGTGTGTTTTGTTTTGTTTTGAAAGGGGCATAGCAAATAGCCTAGATGTGACATCCCTCTCTCTGTGGAAACTGGGATGACCTCTCATCCACGAAGCTGAGGGAGATGATAAAGTAGTGGAACAGAACGTTCTGGGTAGTTCTGTCAATGCCCAGCCTTTCTAAAAGAGAAAAGGGATGTCCTAGTTAGGATTACTATTGCTGTGATGAAACACCATGACCAAAAAGCAGCTTAGAGAGGAAAAGATTTATTTAGTTTACATTTCTACATCGCTGTTCATCATCAAAGGAAGTCAGGACAGGAACTCAAGCACTGCAGGAACCTGGAGGCAGGAGCTGAAGCAGAGGCCATGGAGGGGAGCTGCTTACTGGCTTGCTTCTCATGGCTTGCTCAGCCTGCTTTCTTATAGAACCCTTTGCCACCAGACCAGGGATGGCCCCACCCACAATGGACTGGGCTCTCCACCAATCACTAATTAGGAAAATGCTCTTTATAAGCTTCCCTACAGCCCAGTCTTATTGAGGCATTTTCTCAACTGCGGCTCCCTTCTCTTTGGTGACTAGCTTGTGTCAAGTTCACATAAAACTAGCCAGCACAGGATGAGAAGGCACAGAGAGACTGTGTGAGAGGCTGTGGGACGAGGGCACAGGGAGGGGTTTGGTGGTGTGTAACACAGCCTGTCACAGTGCATGGGGCCTCAAGCACTTAGACCAGTACTCTGGTCACCTCACTGTGGGTACCTGCTTTTACCAGAAAGGCTAATTTGGTGAAATGAACCTGGTTTTCCCCCTACAGCCTGGGCAGCTTCTTTTTCCATCTCTCACACTGTCCCCAGTGGGTGGCAGTAACTTGTGCTGTGGCCCCTCACAAGCCCTCAAAGGGAACAGACACCAAGCATAGGAAATGTCCGTGGTAGACAAGCGACTGTGACAGGTGAGGATGAAAATCTGTCTTTAACGCTTGGGTCTTTTTCTCCTAGACATTGTGAGCAACAGGATTGTTCATTTCGATTTGCTTCTGGACGACATCTCCCTTCAGTATTTCATCCCAGCCTTGTCCTAGCACCATCTCAGCAGACTTAGGAGCACAGAGACCTTTGTCGTGATGAGAGAAGCCCTGGATGGTGTGCAGGGCACACCTGTCCTCACAGCACACAGGCTTGTCTTCGGCTCTTTCTCTCCATGCTGGCGTAGGTTCAAGTGGAATTAACAAAGCACAGTTAGATAATCATTCCTTCATATTTCTCAAGACCAGCACTTGTCCCCTTATCCCCTAGGTCTAAGGCATGAAGAAGAAAAGATGGAATTTACTTTTTTCTAGGGTCTTTTGTTGTTTTGTTTTCCTTTGGTGTTAGAGCTGAGACCAGGGCCTTCTCTGTGCTAAGCATGTGCTGTGCCACTGCGTTGCTCCTCAGTCCTGTCTAAAACGTAAATAGCAGTTTGTCACTGATGCTGCAAAGCTCATCGTCCGTATAGAACTGGTGTTGCAATCCGAATTCACAGGAATACTACCCAGCTGGTTTCCAGCTTACTCCCTGGGATGCTGCACCTGTCTGCTTTCAGATTTCCAGCATGCTCATCTCTCCCAACTGCCATGTCTGGGAGCTCAGTGCAAACCATGCAACCCCTCTGTCCCTGGCCACATGCCTGGTTTCTCACCAATACAGCTACAACATGTGGAGCCTTGCCCAACTTACTGAAGGTTCAAGTTCACTTCCTTCTTACTGCCTGCAGAACCTCACAGCCTGGGAAACCTGCAAAGCCTCTCCTCACAGCCTAGGAAACCTACAGAGCCTCTCCTCACAGCCTGGGGAACCTACAGAGCCTCTCCTCACAGCCTGGGGAACCTGCAGAGCCTCTCCTCACAGCCTGGGGAACCTGCTGCTCAGAAGCCTGAGATCCTGAAGACTAGCCAACCAGTTTCCATCTTGAACTTGTCCTTCTGTATACTTTTCGCATGAGCCCACTTTGATTTTAAGTTATAACTTATTCTACTTTTTTGTAGTGCTCAGGGTCAAATCCAGAAATGGGAACATGTTAGGCAAGCCCTCTATGCCAAACTATATCCCTAGTCATCTAAATCATAATTTTACATAATTCTTCCACAGTTTCAGAGCCACCTTTCTCTAAAGCACATTGTGTTTTGCATAAAGCAGTTGAAGCTTGGCCATCATAGGCAAGGCTGTGTTCTGCTGCTGATTTGGAGCTGGCTCACCCTGGAGGATGTACTTTCTCCAAAAACACCCTAGCAGGCTTCCTGATTTAACTAGGTGTCAGGTGTCCCATGAAGTGGCATCAGAAACTGTTTCCATGTCAGAGTTAAGATCTAAGTTGCTAGGATAAGATTTTAAAAAGGCGTGGGGGGTGTTGACTTTTCCATGTTTAGGGAAAGTATTGTTTCTCAAGCGCTGCTAGGATAATATATTTGTTGCTGTTTCAGTTTTTATTAAACAGGTTCTCGTGTAGTTTAAGCTGGCCTTAGATGAGCTGGAGCTAATATTGTTGTTGAACTGCTGAGCCCCCTACTCCCCAGGTGTAGATGACAGACATGAGCTGCCATGCCCCTAGCTCTACTGATATTTAATAAGATAGATTTAGTTAAACTAACATTTTAAAATTAGGGATTTTTTTTAAAATTGTTAAAGCATTTCTCTTCTTTGGTTCATAATGAGAGGCGGTCCAGGTGCCATGTGTAGCCTCAAAATCATGATGCAAATGAAATTTCAGGAAGTTCCCTATGAAGCCTCTTTTTCTGTCTAAGTGTCAGTGCCTCACTTGTCTCTGGTGTCCCCACTGTGCCACATGCTGTGGGTGATGACTTTGCTTAGTAACTTAACATGGGCAAGAAGAAGCCCTCACTGGCATTCAGGAGGCTGTGGTCTTTCTGGTTCTTGTCACAACTTTCTGCATAGTGTTCATAGCTGTATCTCACAGATCTGTAGTCAAAGGAGGGAGCTCAGAGTGGGGTTATGGGGATCTGGAGCTACTTTGTGGAACCTTGTCCTGAGGCGAGAGCAGAGTCTTGCTGTGTATTGAAGCATGATGTCTGAGGCTTAGAGGCATTTCCCCTTACTCTGATTGCCTAAGACTTGGTTGTTGAAGGATGCTTTCCTGCATGTTAGAACCAGTGAGGTACCCCCTGACCTTGCCTGCCAGAGCTCAGAACCCACATCCCTGGTAGCCATGCCTTGAACTGAGATTTCAGACCGTCCTGACAACGGGTCAGAAATGCAGAATTCTTAATGTAGCCATTTTTGCCAATGTCCAAGCAGCCTTTTTATCCTGTGGGCATCCCCTGGTCCAGCAGGGACCTTCCTATCCATCAGGTCTCCAGACTGAGTGTGTCCTGCCCTGCGTCCTGCCACAAAGAAACCTGCTCTTGGAAGCCTGAAAGGCAGTTCAACATTAGTTTTGACTTGAGGCAGGAATACTGGGTTCTCCCACCAGATGCAGTGGCCGATGACATATCGGTAAATGTCACCCAATTGGTCGAGTGTCTGTTGTTTTTAAGAGATATAATTCTGTACTTTTTTATTTTAAAGACATTGGGATATCAAAGGGCACAGCCTAGAGGTTCTTCCTAGGTGGTTCAGTCACGCGGTCACCCCACCTTTCACTCTGCGCCTTCCTCCCGGGCTACTTATTATTTACTCTCCGTTTCTATACTTACTGGTTCTGGACAGCTTTCTAAACTCCTCCCCCGGTGCCCAGGCCTCTGGTAACCACCATCCTTTACTTTTGTTCTGAGGGCCCGATGTGAGGTTCTTGACTCTCGTGACTCTGTATCCGTGTCTGTATATTGAGTACATACATACCTCAGCCTTCACAGCATGGCTTTGCCCATGGCCATCTTTGTATAGTAAGTCTGTCTAGAAATTCTAGATGCCTGCACACATTGCAACCATTGCAAAGCTGATGGCATTACCATTTCTACGAGGGTGGACTTCTGCATTCAGATTTCGATGGCAGTGAGGCTCATCCCCCTTTCTTTTCCTTTTAATGACCCTGAGTAGTCTAGCTCTGCTCATTCAGACTTCGCTGGCAGTGAGGCTCATCTCACCCCCCCCTTTTTTATTCCTTTTAATGGACCTGAGTGGCCTAGCTCTGCTCTGCTCTGCTCACTCTGTCCCATGTGAAGATACCAGACCCAAGCAAGTCTCCTATAAAGACTCAGGATGTGGGGGAACAAAATGCCCAGCTCCCACTTGTTTTTTCCACTGTAGAATCAAATACAGGGACGTTCTCCATGTGGGGTCCTGTGAGCTTGGTAGAGCAGTCTTATAGTTACCCTGACTGTCTTTCTGCTCATGGTTTTGCATTTCTCTGTGGCCCAGTGGGTACCACAATTTCAGTTTGGCATTCAGGGAATTCAGGGTGGTCACCTTGCTCTGGAAAGTTCCTAGTCGGAATTATGTGGCGACATGGCGAAGTCATAGATTTCTGCTCCACCATTTTGCTAATGCCACATTCCAATTCCATGCTTTTGTGTGGATTTTGATGGAGAATCGAAAAGGGAGCTTGGGCTTGTGGATTTTTCTCTAAGCATTGTTCAACTAGGAGGTGATAAATTAGGGTCACTTGCATATTGAGGGGTGGGTAGGAGTTAGCACGACTTCCTGGCATGCAGTTTGCTATTTACTGTCTGTGGGAAAGCTTAAAACTGCACCCTTTGATTACGGCTTATGCTCCTAAGATTTCTTATACAGGTAAGCTGAGCACTGATATAAATTAAGGATTTCTTATGTGAATGACTGGGGAAATGGCAGGTGATCTGATCTGTGTGATGCAATGTCATTTCCTAATGCTACAGGACAAAGCACTATATGTATGGTAACAAAGCCAGTGGGATGTTGGTGTTCAGTGTGCCCAAGAAGACCAGGAAGTGTACATCTAAACCCAGCTAGCTCTGGGTGGTTTTTATTTCAGTGTTTTTATATGTGTGTGTTTTCTGGCAATTTCGTAACCAACTTTGTCATGAAAATATTTTTATAGACTTAAATAAATATTTATTATTTGACTATTATTTGAAATATATTTATTAACACATATTCATCTGGCAACTTTAATTTCCTGAATGTTATAATTTAGGCTTAGTTTTCACAGCACATCCTTATTTTCTACAGTGGGAAGTAAGGGTTTTTGTGGTTTGTTTTATTTTGTTTTTTTTTTTTTTTTTTACTATGTTGAAGTTATAATGGGTTCAGAGTACTGGAGACTGGATTGATAAGATCATTTTACAGAAAAAAAACTCCTTATCATGGGGCCAACATGAATAGGCCTTACACGGACAAGTTGGTTAGCTTTCCTTCATTGTGACAACATAATCTGAGATAATCAACTTTTAAAGAAGAAAGGTTGGGGCTGATACGGTGGCTCAGTGCCTAAGGGTGCTTGCTGCCAGGCCTCACTATCTTGAGTTTGAACCCATGACACACACTGGAAGGGGAAAACCAACTTCTCAGTAAGTTGTCCTCTGATCTCCATATGTATGTATCCAATGGCATGCTTGCATGTGCACAAAGACACACATACACAAATAAATGTAATTTGCTTTCTACTAGACAAAAAGAGAGTAGGTTGAAGCAGATATCCCTTTCAAGGGCACACTCCCAGTAATTAGCCTCCTTCCACCAGGCCCACATCCAACAGGTCCCTCCACATCCAGGAAACTGGAGATGAAGCCGACATGTGGACTTGTGGGGGCATCCCAGCTCTAACCTGGGTCACAACTGAGGCATGGTGCCTAACACCATCTGCAGAGGAACCTGAGCACTTTATTAATCTTTCTTAGTCTAAGCATTCTGGGAGAGCAGCTAAGCCAGGATCCCTCACAAATACCTGGGCAATAAGTGAGAAGCACAGGGACAGGGGACAAAGAGAAACCACTTTTTGTTCATACTTCAGTGTGACAGTGTGCTTATGTGTCCATTGCCTGTTTCACAGGGCAGTGCTGTGGCCGGCAGCGCTCCAAACAATGCTGGACTCTACACTGGAGCACCCTGGGGTGAGCCCTGCCTCTTCCCAGCACCCAATCTTGGACAATCAGTGGCCTCCTAAGGGGCCACCAGTGGGTGGTTGGAGTTAAAAAAAAATGCAGCACTCTGGTGCATTTCTCAATTAGAAGGCATATGGCACCACTTGGAGGTTTTACAGCCAAACAAAACCTGGAAATTGCCCTTGTTTCCAAGAGACTGATGGCCATGAGCTCCCAGTAGCACAGGGTGCATAGGTGCTTTGCCTATGAGTGCAGTATAGGCAGAGGACTCCAGTGACATCTGCTACCCTGCAGTTCAGAGCTTCGGTCAGTGTGTCCTGTACACATGGTACCACTTGGTTACCATAGGGCCCTCCACCCAGGTAGCCTGTTTCTAACCCAGCGTTGTTTATAAGTGTAAGCTTTCAGAGGCTCCATGTGTAAACACCCTAAGCACTTTCACCATACACATGTTCATTTATCTGTCATTATCTTCCTTACAGAGACAGCGTCCTATATAGCTTGTCCTGTGAGGTTCCCTGCCTGAAGGGAAAAACATGCAGGTGGCCAGAGAGAAGCAAGAATCAGAATGAGTTGAGTTTCTGCCCGGGGTTTCTGTACTTTAATCCGTTCGTTTCCTTTGTGGATTGCTGCCAAAGAGGCAGAGGGTATAAGGAACCCTTGGTAGGTGGATAGCACAGGACCATTGCCTCTTTCCTAAGGTCCCACTCCATGTTCACGCTGGGGCTTCACCAGTTCCTGGAGCATGCTGCATTTTCAAATCAAGAATGCGATGCTCAGTGTGGCTTGAATGTTTAATCCTCCTATGTACCCGATGGACCTCCTTGCTAACTGAACAAACTGTAAGTACCCAGGAGAAAGAACAATCACTTTACTCCAGATCTGGGGAAAAGAGAAGCCATACACTGGACACCAGGTTTCTGAATCTGCCTTTGCACTGTAGATCCATAATGTGTGTATGATCTAGATTTTAAAAGGTAGCACAGTGTCTCAAATGATGTGATTCATACTTCAATATGACACACACATATGTGTCCATTGTCTATTTCACAGAGCAAAACATTCTAGAAGAAAAACAAGGAGTAGAATCAAGGCTAGAGGTAGGCACAGGAAGCCAATACAATGACTGTACACTAATCAATTAAAATATACTTACTCTACCACGCACCCTAAGGGTGCAGTGATGTAGGAAGTCCTTCTGTATATGTGTTGCTTTTATTGGGTAATGAATAAAGAATCTGCATTGGCCTGTGATAGGACAGAGTAGAACTAGGTGGGGAAAACTAAACTGAATGCTGGGAGAAAGAAGGCAGAGTCAGAGAGATGCCATGGAGCCACCAGAGGAGAAAGATGCAAACCACCAGTTGGAACCTTGCCGGTACACTACAAGCCTCATGGTAAAATATAAAATAATAAAAATGGGTTAACCAAAGATAAAAGAACTAGCTGGCAATACACTGGCCAAGCAGTGATTTAAATTATACAGTTTCTGTGTGGTTATTTTGGCAGTCTGGGCAGCTGGAAAACAAACAAGTGGCCTCTTACGACGGTGCAGTAGTAGCACACATACGCTGTCAGTAGCCAACAGGTCTCTAATTGAACTTAAGACCACGCAACAAAAGTGAGATCACACCTGTACTGGAAACCTAGCCAAGTACCCAGAGATAGTGGAATCATGGATCATGGAAGAGAGTCTACAACCTCCACTTATTAAACCCACACAGTTCTGAGCCACACTCTGAATACTTATCCTTGCCCACAAATAAATGTTGTCCTCACCCCTCAACAAGGAAACTTCTTTGTGCAGTAGACAGACACCATTGTGGAATACCACGTTATCAAAATGCAGAGTTCTAGAACCTACTCTACATCAGAACTCTTGCACCTAAGGTTTAGGGAACATTGTGGAAGAGGAACAGAGCATTAGGTTATGAGGTTGTGTCTCCTAGAAATGGCAGAGAAGCTACACCCATGAAGTCTTGCCAGCATGGCTTCTGTGCATGACCTAAACAAGGTCAACACTAAGACTCGTGCTAACATGGATGGGAGAAAGTACAGGAAGCCTCAACCTAGACAAAGAACTACAGGCAACTAAGAAACAAGTCTTAGTGTGGGAGACACAGTCTTCCCCAGGGACAAGCATGCCAATTAGTTATCCAGTGCCAAATGATCAGCCCTAAAAACATACACATACAAGTAACATTGTACGGACTGTGCAGGCTGTATTTATATATTGACGTTGTGTGTGTGTGTGTGTGTGTGTGAGAGAGAGAGAGAGAGAGAGAGAGAGAGAGAGAGAGAGAGAGAGAGAATGGGGGGGGGAGAGAGAGCAATTAAAGAAAAAGAGTCAGCCAGGCAGTAGTGATTCATGCCTTTAATCCCAGTATTCAGGAGGCAGAAATAGATGGATCTCTGAGTTTGAGGTCAGCCTGGCCTACACACTGACTTCCAGGGCAGCCAGGGCTACAGAGAGAAACCCTGTCCCAGAACCCTGCCTCCCCCCACCCAAAGGAGGGTGGCATTAATTTGAATGAGATCAAAGTGGGAGGGGTGGGAGAAATGAAGGGAAATAGAAGAAATGATGTAATTATAAACTAGAAAAAAATTGCATTCTTTAAAATTTTGGGGGACTGGAGAGATGGCCCAGAGGTTTAAGAGTACAGGCTGCTCTTCCAGAGGTCCTGAGTTTAATTCCCTCCAACCACGTGGTGGCTCACAACCATCTATAATGAAATCTGGTGGCATACATTCAGAGAGAATGCTGTGTATGTAATAAATAAAAATAAATAAATAAATCTTTTAAAAAATTGGACCAATAAATTTTCTCAGAGAACATATTATATGTATTTGTGATTTTCTTTTAAAGAGTGTTGAAACAGATTAGATTTAAAAAAAAATGTGGTCACGTTGATTCCCTGTTCTCACAAAGGCTATTAAGAGAAAGAAATCACAGTGGTCTTCAAAGCCTACAGCATTGTCATCATCTCCACTATGATTATTGATGCTGTGCAGACAAGGAACAGTTAGGGAATGGTGTTTGCCCAAATGTCCAGCGGTCAAAGGAGCAAAAACTGTTGTTCTAGATATTTTTACTTTGAAGTAAATGAGAATCATGGAAAGTTATAACAGACATAGACAACATTTTTATGTGGCCAATAACTTCATCTCTCTTCCCTCCTCTCCTTCTTCATCAACTCCCCTCTCTCTAGTGGGGAGCTGAGCCCAAGGCCTCCACACATGCTCTATCACTTAACTACAGCTCCATCCCTAAAGTTCCCACAATTGGTATCAGATGTAGAAAACCGTTTTCCTGTCACTTAAATGACAATAAATGTGTGCACTGTCCTGGCATTACAGATGACAGGTCACCCTGCTATTTTTCACAAAGCCACGTACTTTAAAGTACTTTAAGCTCTGTTTCCTTTAGTCGACCACTGTTGATCTCTGTCCTTTAGGGGCATCCTTTGAGGAAATAGCCTCCTAGCTGCCCAGCGCTCCTCTGTGCAGGACGTTTCACGGGAGGAACCTGTCATTGGTTCATTGCCCTTCATATGCTAATGAGAGCAGGGCAAGTTCACTGCTCAAGCTCCTAGGAAGGGTGGGCCAGGCCTGGCTGGATCAGGACCCTTCTGGTCTCCCACCAGCACTCACCACTCACTCAGCAGGGCAGATTCTGATCTTTCTGCTGAGCAGAAGACCCCATGGGAGCAGGCTGCCTGATGTGCTGGCAGGTGCTTCTCACAGCCTGGGCCCTGTTCTCCTTAGAGCACTCTGCTCCAGGAACCAGCTCAACCAATGGTAAGTTCCAGTTCAGTCACAATCTCAGCAATCTACCCTCACCCCACGCTGCGCCACCACAATTTACTCAAATTTGTCCAGATGCTGTATTTGATGCTCTATGAGTGCTGGGACCCTGAGGGTGGCCGGGTCTCGAGAATGGTGCTGTAGAAGATGCAGAGTATCCAAAGGTAGGCAATAGGAGACACCTACAGGCTTTGCTGTAGGAACAGTGGTAATTTGGTGCTTAA